AAACCTTCATCCAGTAGCTGATGGAAGCAGAAGCAGAGATCCACAACTAAACACTGAGCCAACTCCTGCAATCCAGTTTCAGAGAGGGGGGAGTGACAAACAAAGGGATTAAGACCATGCTGGAAAAACCCACAGAAACAGCTGACCTGAGCAAGTGGGAACTTATGGATCCCAGCTGACAGCTGGGGAAACAACATAGGACCTAATCAGGCCCCCTGAATGTGGGTGTCAGCTAGGAGACCTGGTTAGTCTATGAGGCCTCTGGCAGTGGAACGAGGATTTATCCCTAGTGCATGAATGGGCTTCGGGGGCCCTTTCCCATGGAGAGATACTCTCTTAGCCTAGATATACAAGGGAAGACCTAGGCCCTGGCCTAAATGACTTGACAGACTTTGATGATCCTTCAAGGAAGGTCCCACCCTCCCTGGGGAGTGGATGGGGGATGGAATGGGGTGTTGGTGGGGGCAAAGGGAGAATGGGAGGGAGAGGGAACTGGGATTATAAAAAACTTATTAAAATATCCTCAAAAATTGCAAACGCTTAGTGATAGATCTCCCCATAAATAATTAGCAGAGGAAATGAATCCAAGGAATAAGTGATGCTAGAGTTTTATAGTTTGGCCCACATTACCAAATATCCCAATACACTAGTATTCAAATGCATTTAAAGTGGATTTTTCTGAATTTTTATTAAACTAAAGTTACTGAAGAAATCTGATGACAGCATGAATTGTGATATCACCCATGTCGTGTCTGTGTCAATAACTGGTTGATCTATTTCTGTTAAACTTTATAGAATTTATTCACAAATGAATCCTCTGTTCATGAACTTATGATACTTCCAATAAATAAATGCTTTAAGAACAGCATTCATAGAGGACCTCATGGAACTTTGTGTGCTGCTCCTTCAAAGAGAGAGCACTGCCGATGCTCCTAACCCCTCATGTTTTCCTTCTCACTGCCCTTTATATTATGTATTAGTATATTCTGTGTATTAAAATTATCAGGATTGTAATAATCTTTAAATGAGGTAAAGTACTTGTTCCATTAAGAATTCCCAATTGGTTAGTTTTAGTAATTTTTAATGCTTCATTTTTGTTTAAACATTTATATGTATATTCTTCAAGAGGTTCCTTTTATGCATTCTGAGTTGTCTTTCTTTTTTTTACATGTCTTTTCAAAGAATCTCTTTTTGATCGTTTCAGAAAATTTTCAAAAATAATCAATAAATTCTATTTGTTTACATTTTTTAAAAAAGAAAATATATAAAGGGCTGGTAAGATAGCTCAGTGGGTACAGGTGCCTGCCACCGAGCCCTATGGCCTAACTTCTTCCTCTGGTCCCACATAGAGGAAGGAGAAAACTAAGTCCTGCAAATTGTCTTCTGACCTCCACTTGTGAGCCAACACACACACACACACACACACACACACACACACACACACGTAAAGGGAAGCTTTTCTTTGCTAGCCGCTTTTGTTTATCACCTGCCAGTAGCCTGGGATCTGCCACGTTGTAGTCCCCAAATAACACACAAGACACTGTATTAATTATGAAGCTGTTGGCCTTGCTTGTTTCTTACTGGCTAGCTCTGACTTAAGTATTTATCCCATAATTGTTAATCTAAGTATTTCTCTTACCGGAGAATAGTTCTGGGCTTCTTACCCCATGGTGTTACATCTTGACTCTCTGTGTTTCTCCTTCCCAGAGTCCTCCTGGACTCCTAGTCCCACCTATCTTGATTCCCTATTGGCCAGCAGTGCTTTATTGACAAATGCACAGGACTTCCCCCAACACACACACAATTAATGAAATATAATTTTTAAATTTAAAATAAAACATGGTGAATAAATTAAACACACATTTGCACAGAATCTAAAGTAGTTATGCTGTGTGTGTGTGTGTGTGTATCCATCGTTAAAAGTAAAAACAATAAAGATACCAGGATATCAATGCTAAATATGCTTGTTTTAGAAATAGAAATGTGTTCCAGGAAGGTGAATGGGTTAAGGATCTGTTTGAACATAGCACAATTTCACATTTGCTTGTGTGTGTGGATGTGTCCACTTTAAACATTTAGGTTAAAGCAAAAAAAGATCATATCTAGATAAAATGATGAGTTAGGAAAACACAAAAGTCAGCTGTACATCCTTTAAACATTACCAGTAACCTCATTCCATGACTGTGTTATGGGTCGCCTCACACTATCATCTAGCATTCTATTTCTTTGTGATTTCAAATGCTTCTGCCATTTTCAAATTCATATTCTACAGCCTTCCTGAAGTGCACAGCCACAAAGATCAGAATGTTTCCAAGATAGAGAGCTGTATTTACTGTAGCAACCACACATTGCTTAGAAGTTTAAACTGGGTGGCACAGTGGCCCACCCTGAATCCCAGGATTCAGGAAGATGAGGGAGACGAGGCAGGAAGAGAGCAAATGCAATGCTAGCTTAGGCTACAAAGTGAGTTCCAGGTTGGCCTATAGAAAAAAGCTTGAAGACCTTATATCAAAATCCAAAGCAATGCCCGCTATGGCAGCGCATGTTTTTAATTCCAGCATTCAAGAAGGAACGGTGGGCAGATCTCTGTGAGTTCAATGCCAGTGTCCCCTACATAGTGAGTGCCAGGTCTGGCAAGGCTGCATAGTGAGACTGTCCAAACAAACAAGCAAGCAAACAAACAAACAAACCTCAAAGCAATATAGGATCAGAAAGTAGCTCAGTGGGCAAAGAGCTTGCTGCCCAAGGAAAAGGAGCAGAGCTCTGATCCCCAGTGCTCATGCAAATGCCATCAAGTCATGGCTGACTAGCAAAACTAGCCACACAGGTCTGCTCTGGGTTTGACTAACGCAGTGGAATGATTCAGAGTGATTTCCAAAAACAAACAGCCTTGTTCCCCACATGCACGTGTACACAAGTACACACACACACACATACACACACACAAATGCAAGCATGCATGCACACACGTGCACATCACACAAACACACACACAGTTAAAACGATAAAGTAAGCAAATAAAAAACATGTATTTATGTGTTTTTATTAGTTTTCTGTTTTTGTTTGTTGTGGGCCACTGACAGGATTTCTGAGAGTTTGGTCTCTAAACCTCCTATTTCCCATAATGTTTACAGGTTTTTTTCCAATTTTTTAAAATTTAAATTAGAAACAAACTTGTTTTACATGTCAGTCCCAGTTCCTTCTTCCTCCCCTCCCCCTGCCCCCCACTAGCCCCATCCCATCTCCTTATGCTCCCCTTCCATGGGGGATCTTTATATTTAATATAATTTTTTTATGCTTCACATGTCAATCCCAGCTTCCTCTCCCACCCCTCCTCCCTTGTCCCTCCACCAGCCCCCCCAGCTTCCCCACCCAATCCCCACACCATTTTCCAGGGAGGGTGAGGCCCTTCATGGGGGATCTCCAGAGTCTGTCATTTCATCCAGGGCAAGGCCTAGGCCCTCCCCCCATGTGTTCAGGCTAAGAGAGCTCCCAAAGTTCATTTGTACTTATGGTAAATATTGATCTACTATCATGGGGATCTTCAAAGTCTGTCATATCCTTTGGAGCAGTGTCTAGGTCCTCCCCCATGTGTCTAGGCTGAGAGAGTATCCCTCTATGTGGAATGGGCTCCCAAAGTCCATTCCTATGCTAGGGATAAATACTGATTCACTATCAGAGACCCCATAATTGCCGAGGCCTCCTGACAATTCTTACAGTTTTAATGGCACAATTTTTCAGCTATAACATTTCACTTAAGAGTATAGCTCTGATAGTCACTAGGTGAACAAGTGGGATATTGTAATAAATAATAAACCTCATTTTACAGCTTTAAAGGTAACTTAAAAGGTATTTATTCAATATGCTTGGGAGGGCTTGTTAAAAAAACTCTCAACTATCTCAAATAAAAGCCATCAGCATGCCTATAAATATATGTCACTATAGTGAGGATTTATCATTTATCTCTTAAGGTAATTATGCAAATTGCATTCAGCTTACATGTCCTGAGTTGGGAAGATGATTTTTTCTGTCTCCTCAATTATAATCTCATCTAGATGAAATTGAACAAGATTCAGGATGGGCAGGAGGACCCTGGTGGTTCTTTTGCAGAAGAGAATCTAGTTCCCTCCTTAGGGTCTCTTTTCCTTAACAAGGCTGTACACAAAACACTCAGCACATTCCCAGAGCTTCTACCATACCCCCTCGGGAGATCTCAACAAATACGGAAAAACAACTTCAAACAATGAAAGGCCCAGCCCGCTTTGGTTTTGCTGTTTCTTCTCCTTCATGCTTCCTCTTTTTCAAACCTGTGTCCTCCTCTCATGTGTCCAAAGCAACCCGTCCTTTCCTCGAACTGTACTGGTGAAGAAAGACCCTACAGAAATTAAGATCCTACAGAAATTAGCCTTGAACAATCTATTATGCTCCTAAGGACTGAGACATATGAGGACAAGGCTGGGAACGAACGGGAAAGGATGGATCCTGGGCAAAGGCAACGTGTGGAGGAGTGGCAGAGAAGTTTCTGGGCTCGGAGGAAATCATTCTCTGGTTCTTGACTCTTCTGGGCAGAATCACTTTCAAATGTCAACCTTTACGTCTTAGGAGATCTGATCAGAGTTTAGCCAGTCCGATGGTAACAGACAATGGCTGGATGCCAGCACTCGAGGGCACATACTTCAAATAAAAATAACCAGGTCTCCTTCGTTGTGCAAATGTAAATTGTCATAGCTGCACACTGGCTTCAGAGCCACAGGTGGAAGACGGGAGGAAAGCCGCGCAGAACTCCCCGCGGCCGGTCACAACAGTCCTCAGAGTGCACCTGCACACACCCATGGGCACACATTCAACCCGCAGGCTGTGGGTTCTGCTAATGCGTCCTGCCCTCCCCGCCTCACCGCCTCACCTTGCTCACTTTCCCTGCCCCCAGCCCTTGCCCCACACAATGAGATTTTTGTTTGCTTCAGTAGCATGTGACGTAGAGTCCCTGCTTTGCCTAACTCAGTGCTGCAGTCTCTCGGGTAACAGGTGGCAACTTCCCCTGTTGGATAGTAGGTATAAAGAAGGATGACCTCATGGGGTGGAGCTGGGGGGACTCCAGGTAGCAGTCACAGACAGGTAACCCTGCAGTGAGGCTGTATAGTTAGAAGGGGGCAGTTAGATGCCAAGGTTCACCCCGAGGCACTTGAGCAGCCAGCCGTTGCCTGCAAACCTCACAACTTGGTCTCACTGCCTCAGATGGAGCCCAGACAAACCCCTGGGAAGGAAAACATGGGAAGCAAGAGAAAGAACCTGACCTTCTTGAGACCCAGGCTGTATATGCTGGAGAGGAGGAAGACGGACACTGTGGTGGACAGCAGTGTCTCTGGGGACCACTCTGGCACCTTGAGGAGGAGCCAGTCTGACAGGACGGAATACAACCAGAAACTACAAGGTAACCAAAGAAAAAGCAGCTGCCCCAGGTGGCTCCCTGCCAGGTCTGTTTCCACTGATTCCCATTTGCAGAGACACTTGAGGCGGAGGAGAGAATCGAATGCAACTGTTCCCTTCTTACAAAACAAGAAAATGAAATTGAGAGGGGCCCATGAGATAGAAAGATTTTATGGTGTAGTGTGTCGGCTAAAGAGCCTCCTCTGAAATTTTCTTAATACCATTCAATTTTCTCTGGTGAGAGTAATAGTTTTTTCCTCTACCTTCCTTGTTCCTCCTCCTTTCCCCACCCCACTTAGAAAGGGGGAAGGACTGCTACAAATGTGATTTAAAACCTACAAAAAGCAGTTTATCCTGGTAGGTGGTTCTGAGATGACACACCATGAGCTCTAGCTAGGAAAATGTACTAAACCATGGTGAAAAGTACCTTAAACAGGCATGTGAAACTGTAATCATGTCTGTGAAAAATAAGTAATGTTATAGTCAGTGGGATGCTCTGAGAGAATGCCTGAAAATCACTCCAATGAGCATGCCCTAGAGTTGCCTGAATAGCATCCAAACTGGGCAGAACTGTTCTGCTCACCGACACTGAGTGACTACAGAGGGAGCAACCACGTTATTTTGTGATGGTGGTAAGATAATTTGGCACAGTAATTATAACACGTTTTCCATCTCTGCCCCTGGATTCCTAGCTCCTTTGACTGTCCTTCCTCCTAAAGGTCATTTGTCCCCCTAAGACTTCATGTGGTGTGACAGCACGCAGAGTTTTGTCTCTGCAGCTGCACCTGTCATGTGAGCCTCCAGATCCTGTCTCTCCTGTTTGGTGTACAATGCAGGCATGAACTCCCCTCTTCCCACTGTGACTTGCCATTTTAGGCATTAAAACTGAACCGGCATTAGAAGACCAATGGGACATGCTTGTTAGCAGAATGCTCTCCTCAGAAACCAACTTAGACTTGATTATGCAAATTAATCAACTCAAATGCATTTAAATTAAATGTGTAAAAGCTCTAACTAAGGAGTAATGCTTTTTAAAAATTCTGTTTGGCTCAACACTAAATTGCAGTGTCAGTCTTTATCCTTAAAGGAATTATTTTTGATGAAGGAGGAACAGTATTTGAATCTTCAAGACAATGTTGGAAAGAATGCTAATTTTAGTCATGCACAATTGGTTTTCAATTATGACTTTTCAACTTACTACATATAAGAGTTTGAAGAAAAATGTCTTAAAATTTCTGAGTTCTGATTTTCCTATTTTTGAATGTTAGATTAATGTTATCTACCGTATAGAGTTGAAGATTGAGTTAGACAATGACTCAAATTTCTAGTACCTTGGCTGACAGATACTATATGCTCTATAAGTAATAATAGCCGTTATTTTCAATTTTAAGAATAACAGGTACCATACTAATAGGCCAAGCTGGACATTCATCCAAACTTACATGTCTTATGTTCCTTGTTAAAGGAACTTTTTGTTCCTTGATAAAGATACAACATACATGAATTCAGAAGTTCACCACATCATTCTCAGCAATATTTCTTCCGCCATCCTCCTGCTTCAGACTTTCTATCAACACAATAAATTACAGATAATTTCTGAATTTACTCCGTCTTGCTTTTCTCAACAGTTTAGGCAGACGGCCACAAAACACAGTGGGCATTTATTAGTTGCTTTGTAGATGTCCTCAGGCCGATTGCACACTTGGTTTGGTTTGTGAGTTTTCTCTGTTCTCTTGGATTTTTGTCTATGAAAGTGGAAAAACTCAGAATTCACCCAGATTCCTAGAAGTACTTGGGAAATAAAAAGTTTCCAGAGAGTGTAGAAGGTCCCATCAGAGCTATAACTTAGCTGGACTCCTGAGAAGAAACATGTTTAGCTGTAACCAGTAAAACCTAAATTCTAAAGCCTAAGGAGACTTTCAGGATTCATTTACAACAGAAGCCTCAGCAGCAATGGGAGGCATTTCCTCCACTATGCTCAAGGCAGGCATTTTGGGTTTTCGGTCTGGTTTGTTCAATGCCCACAATGGACTGTGGTCAGATATCTCCTACATCTCTTCCTTGCTGAAATGGCAAAGGCTTTGTTCCCATCTTTGTTGGAACCAGTTGAGGTCCACGGCACCCCCGCCCCCCCTTCGCCCAACCAGGCATTAAAAAAAGACAACCTGAACTGGATAGAGCTCTGGAAAGATGGTCCAAAGCCATTCTGAGGTCACAATGCTTTCCAAGACTGGGATTTCCAGTGCTTCTGCAGTTCTCAGTTCATTCAGTCTGTGGTTTTTAGTACTGTGTTGTTATTTGAGCAATTCACTGTTCCGGTTCTCTGTGGAAGCCAGCTCGTTGGTTCTGAAAAACTAGACCTCTCTTCAGTGTCTGTGAGTTTGCCCTGGAATCCACACTAGACAGTTTACCTGTTGTTGTTTTTATTTCTTTTCATTAACATTTTAGCAGATTGAACTTTAAGTTGCCATAATAAGTTTTGGAAAACGATGCTTTGCCTAAGAGCTTCCAGATGAGTGCAACAGAAAACATCCTTAAAGATGGTATTCTAATGACCATGTAGAGGTCGCCTTCCCGGCTGTTCCTCCTGCTGCACTTTCTGCTGTGCAGATAGCTGGATGCTGACCCAACGCTGGCATTCTTTACTCCTGGAGCTGATTATTGAGTGACTCAGTATTGGTCGTATATATTATATGTCGGGTCTTGTCTTAGTTAATGTTGAGCCAAATCACAAGGATAACACTAAAAACAAAAACCCCTCACATTTCACTCCACAAGTCTCGAAGCCTGCTTGGGAAAGATAAGAAAGGTAAACAAGCAGATGCAAAGGAGCGTCTGGATGGAAGTAGGAGCTGGATCCAAGGTTCAGAACGGTCCCTGGGTGGAGGAGGCCATTAGGTCTCCAGGACTCGATAAGCTGGAGACAGGGAGAAAGTACAGATGGGAAGCGGGTATTTTAACTTCTTCACTACACTTCATCTGAAACATGATGTCCTTCCTTATGGCTTATATTGACTCTCATTCCCCCTCCAGTCTCTCCCCTCCCCATACTCCATGAAAGAGACTTGCTTTGTTAATTGTCATTTCTGCATATAGAGTCAGTCCCAGCACAAACTACTCTTCAATATTATGGAACTATTCTGTAACTATTCAACAGAACAAATGATCTGAATGATCTGGCCCATGCAGAAAGGATGTGAGGGAGACACCAAAGCCTGAATGAAGCTTAACGTGTGGTTGTGTGCCTTCATATGGGAGGGTACACACCTCCAGCAATAAATATGATTGTTGATTATAACAAAAACACATGAATGTACAGAACCGCATGCCCAATGACTACATTTTCATGTAGGCGTATCTCATTTATCATTATAGAGCAGAGGGAGCACACCTCAGTTCACTCTTCTCTCATTCATTACAACCATACATCACAGCACCTTTCAAATTAGCTCAGTTCCTTATACCCATTCTACTGAGAGCCTTAGAGATGAAACTAACTGGGGAAACTGAAAGGCTGAGGTGTGAAAATTTAAGATTTCATATATGATTACCTGTGTAATCCTATTTTTGAATTAAGCATGACTTGGTCATATATGTCTGTATATGTAGCTATCTATGTATAGAACATATAGATATATGTGTATCCCCAAGATATTTCTTCACTACTTAAGCTTTTTAGGCAAATGTTAGTGACTGAGGTTCAGCAGTCCTGTCTGAAACCATCACGACTGATGCTACTGATGCAATTTCTGCTCCTCAGACCACACGTTTTTTTGCACACGAATCCACATCTACACACTAATACTTAAAAATGATGGTATTTGAAAATGAGGCCTTTGGGAAGTAATTAGATCTTGGACAAAACCCTAATAAGTGGGACTGGTGGCTTTGAAAGATCTTCAGGAGATTGTTTCTCTTTCAGCAGCCTAATGGTAGAGACACCTGTAAACCAGGAAGCAGGCCCCATCAGAAACTGGGTCTGATGGGAACTTGACCTTGGGTTTGATAGGTGGTAGTATGGTGAGGAAGAAAAGCTTGTCACTTATGCTACACAGTCCATAATACATTCTCAGAGAATCTGAAACTGACCGGGAGTGGGACAGTTTGTTTTCACCCTCTGCTTAGCTTTCTGGTTGTTAAATAGTTTTGCTAATGAAGCACTTTCTGAGAATGGGAGTAAGTAGATAACATGTCATTATCCTTGCAAACAGGAGTCAAAACAGCCCATATTCCCTTCCTTCTTTTATTACATTTTATTCCTTCTTCAGAAAAGAAAGTTTTCTTACCATTGAGAAGGAACTGGTAGGTTTTCTGATAAAATCCTAAGGTTTTGGTACTCTGGTGTTAACAAACTTCCTGAGGCGCACACTTGATACAGATTGCAAAATATGAGGACACGTGACTCAACTGAAAAGCTGGACTCGGCCAAATCATGAGCCCCTTTAATGCATCGTGTTTGTGAAGAATAATCTCTAAGTGCATGGAGCTGTTGACACTGAAAGACTTGTGATAGGTTTGCTCCAGGTCTAATGAAGGAGCCATAAAAGGAAAGGTGAGCCTTCCTATGTGTTCTAAGCTGGAGCCCTTCCCATTCCTGTCCGATCATTCTCCTGCCTCCAAACACCATTTGCTAAAGAGAACACTACAGAGCTAGGGACCTAACACCTGATAAATAGGCGTGTAATTGTTTGAAGGGCAAACATTTAAAAGAAAGTCTAGCTGCTTTCAATAGTTTCTGTCTCCTTCATGCATAAAAGTCAAATAGAAGCATTTGCAGTCCCCCCTTTTTCAGTAGTCAAGTTGTCTTGCAGTTTTTAGAAAATTTGTTTCATATCGTGAGCCACAGAAAGCCGTAACTCCTACACATTTAGATTGATGTGGACAAAACTACTCCTCTTGTGTTGAACAGGGGTGGCGTTTTCTGTAACTCTCCTAAAGATGGAAGGTATCATTTCTAGTTGTGTGGTTTTTCTTACCCATAAAACTCAGAATTTTACCAGTACA